AGGAGCTGGAGGAAGTGTCTGGAGAGAGGGAAGTCTGGGCATCTTTGCTTAGACTGCTGCCCCCGCGACCCGGTCTCGGATAAGCGGAGGAAAATGGATGGATGGACTTAAATTGTACGGGATTCAACAGTACACTCCACTCCATCCATGCAAAATCTGCAGGTCTACAAACACTAACAGCTTCAGTTTATCAAGATTCTATAGTCTTTTTTTCAAGCTAATCATATCAAAATAAAAGTAAGCAAATTTCTTCTTTTAATTTCAGGCACTCAACCTAAAGAAGCTAACATATCTTAAGGGATGTGTGGACTTTTGACACCCACCAAATGCTTTACAATGAACTTCTACATTATAATAAATAATATTACAATACCTGAATGGGTTAGGGTACCTCTGCCAGAAAGCAGAGACAACATGGTCCCATGTGCTCCTGATGTCTGTGTTATTAGCAAAATACTTGACCATTCTTCTCTTGCTGATGTATGGGATGGCCTGAAGGCCAAACCCAGAGGTCCCTTGCTGTGACTACAGAAAACAACGAAAACTTGGATGTCGGCACCATCCAAAGTCTAGCATAGCCCTGCAAAATTCAAGAGAACCATCAGCAAGAAGGACATTGGTCCTTCAAATACTCTTGCTCTGTTTCTACTTTGGGTTTAAATATATTTCAATTTGGAGGGTATTTATTTTGTTGAGGAACGATGAAACAACATTTCTTAACTGGTTTTCCAAAAGCTTTCTTTGATATCATATCAATCAATATCACAATATAAAATTATTACACCATTATAGAGGATTTTTACTCTGCCCACTCCAACTGCAAACTCATCCACAGATGCATAAAACTACCTCTGTATAAAGATGACTTTAAACAGTACCGACCCTGTATATAGAGTTTACGGTAATAATATGTTTAAGTACATACAGTATATGTTTTCTGTTTTGTTGTTTATACATCCAATGTTCATACCTAACTGCCTACAGAAAGCTATGTTAATGTTTTGTAATGCTTGTTGTCCCATGTCTTTCGTTCTACCTTTACAATTGGTCGTGCGGCAATGCATGTGTTGACTTATGCTGACAGCTACAGAAACCGTAATCAAATGTCTTCTAGCATATGGGCTAGTTAAATTCTATGTCAATATAAATTGGTACTTTGAAAAATGTAATTGTACAGCAACATTTAATAGCCCCTTATGTGTGCTCAATATGTGCTTTCGTAATTAAATAAAAAGGGGTCTGGAATTATGTAACGCTGCAGAGGTCAATGACCCAAATTACATTAATATGTCTATGTCAACATCATTAGCACCATATGATCTAGCTATATATTTTCTATTCTTCACAACAAACTATGTAAGACACATCCATGAAAGTCGCACTTCTTCCAACAGCTCGACAATAACTGCCACTGGTAGATATCTGATTATTACTGTTACATTTAAGTTATAGCTGAGGTTATGGACGGCTTGTTCTTAACTCGCTGGCTTACGTTACTGCTAGTATAATGTATGTTCAGTCCCCGGACAGCTAATAGATAGCTGGTTAGGCTTTAAAAATAGCTCATTCAATAGTTTGACATCTAACGTGCCTGCGAGATTGAACGACAATCAGTTACGTCACATTAGTTATAGCTCATTCATGACGGACGACTTTGCCAGCTAGCCTACGAGTTTTGCTAACTAGCTAGCGAGTGGAATATATTTGAAGTTTCAGATGCTCTTGCCTATAAGAAAGAGAAGCCATATCTGTAGTCAATGCTAACGAAATACTGGGCTAAGAAATGTCCGCACAGTACCTGCTTGTTATGCCCCTGGCCCACAAATTCAACTGACGTTAGCTAATAACATCATTATGCTACATGTGACAGACAGGAGAAGCAGTGTTACGATCGTAGTATTACAACACTACTACTTCTTGTAAAAGTTTCAAAGTAAAGGTCTACTGACTATTAGCTGTGTTGTCATTTTGGGATGTTGAGACAGAAATGACAAAATCCAATCTAACTAACTGGCTGAACACTAAATCAGTTATGGCGCACTTTCTGATTAAAAACAAACAAACAAACAAACAAACAAAAAACAAAATTAACCAGGTGCTGGATTGACATCCGCGACATGGATGCTTCCCCTTGGTAATGGGGCGGCTGTGGCTCAGGGGGTAGAGTGGCCGGTAGCACTTTTGTTGTTCATCACAAATGTAAAGAATGCATGAAGCTTTGGGTCGGAAAGCAAATTAGGGGAGGATTTAGAGAATCTGAATTGTCGATTAATTAAAATATCGTGCCGCACTTTATCTTCCGGTCCGGCAGGTGTCGCACTAAACTTGGTCGAAGTGTTCAAACTGGGTCACGATTCCGCATATTCTTTTTCATTGGTGTAATTACTTGCAGGGACGTGTCCTCCATGGTGTCATTGCTAGTCTTTAGAGGTTGACTATCCAGAAATAAGCAATGTCTGGGTATACGCCAGACGAGAAGCTCCGTTTTGAGCAGATTATAAAGCTCCGGAGGCAGTGGCTGAAGGATCAGGAACTCAGTCCGAGGGAACCCGTGGTACAAGCTAAACCTCTCGGACCCGTTGCTAAATTCTGGGCTGGCTTTCTGGAGCCCAAGACCCTGTGGCGGCTTTACGTGAGTCCTGAGGATCAACCAATGTTAGCTAGCTAACCTAAATGTAAAATATTAGCAAACACACGGAAAGATTTATAGATAACTGGTGTCAGTTTTATTAAAGGCGGCGTATTTAGAGATATAATGCAGCTAGGTTAAGTGTTTAACTTAGCCTTAGTGAACCAACATACTGCTTTCTTCACTCTACGGATTTGTTTGCAAGCAACAAGTCTGTGTTTGTAGTGTGTTTGCAGAAGAAAACATCCTAAGTGCCTATATTTGAGCACACAGTGAAGGAAAATCTCCCCGAATTGCAATAAATGTGATACCTAACGATACCTTAGTTTATCTTCTGTATAAACAGATTGAGACAAGTTTTTAGGAACAATAACTCAGCCAACAGGTCATAGGTAGCAGTTTGGCATTTCACAGATGTATATAATAAAGCTAACTGTAGCAACTTGGTTTTTTTTTTTTGCCAATTCAGTTTCAGGGTCCTGATGTTGTCACACTGACACTTGAATGTGGACAGTGTGAATACTGTGAACATATCACCTTTGGCCCTGAGAAACTGTGATGGACATTTTTCAAACTTCTCTGACTTTTGATCCCAACAACATGATTAATCAATTAAACTGGAAAAGAAATTGTGTCAGATTAACGATTAACAAAATCAGTCATTAATGCTTGCATCCACTCAAAGTTTCTGCATGTATCCAAGTACAAAAGGCAACAAGTATTATATTCCATTTTCTTTTTTGAGGAAAAATGTGAATATTTTTTGTACATAAATATCTCACCTACTCACAAAGAGACAACAAGCTGCACCCTAATTTGAAGAAAGTATTATTTGTTTGGAGCAGTCAGAGGAAACACCGTTATTAGTTATGTAATTCTGTTAATATTTACCAGTTTCTATGTGTGTCTTCTTGCAGACCTACAAAGCATACAAAGGGGGAGTTTTCACATTAACACGGCTTTTGATACCTGGTTGGATTATTCACTACTATGTGAAATACCATCTTGATGTAAGTCAACAGAAATGTTAAACTTTATTTGTGATATTGGTAATGGGAGTAAGCAGATGCCAGGAATGTGTTACATAGCTGGTGCACAGAATTTTGAGACTTGATATGCAGGACTACTAGAAGTTACGTCCTTTAGAGTTAGATCTTTAATTCTGAGAATACCTCAGTTTTGGAATTTGAACAGCTTCTGATTCGCTGATATTTCAAGTTTGCTGTGTATACACTGTGAACATTTATTTTTGGAACTTGCACATGTGGATTTCTGCATAATTACAGGAAATGGCTAAGAGAACCTTGATAGAGAATTTAACATAATTGTTTTCGAGTTATCTAAAGTGGCATGTGATTTTTTTTTTTTTTTAGATAGCATACAAATAGGGTATCTTGCAAAGAAAGCAGGGACATTTAGAATGACATGTACTGTATGCAAAACCAACTTTATTCCATGTTTTCATTCTCTGTGCATTTGACAGACAAGGGCAGCCTACAGTACATTCATGCAAATGTCAGCTTCAGTATATAAATGAAAACTTATGTGACTGTATTGATCAGTAGGCCTGCTTAATTACAGTGTTGTTGTCTCTCACAGGAAAAGTTATATGGTATTGTGGAGTTGAAACCCAAGCTATTCCCAGTAAGTATGACTCATCCTTTAGTTCTAACATTTCTGATTTCTGTTAACCATTATTATCCTTCTTTTAGTTTCTTGTATGCAGAGGTACACCTGAGCTTGCTGATAGATCTGATTGTCCCATGAAAACAGACCTCTGCCTGAGATGCTGTGATAGAAGCCTGGAAATGCTTCTGCCTGGGATGTTGTGGTTGAGGAAAAGAGTATTTAAAAACTTTTATTTTTTTTACCCTTTTGCATTTAGGGTGACGTCATACTGGAGACAAATGAAGTTGTTCCAGATCTCCCCAAGACCCATGGTCATCACTGAAGATGAACTGTCTCAGCATATTTCTTGCGTTTGTTATAAAACTGTGTATATGCCAATAAAATATTACAAAGTAGTTCGTTCTTGTGTGTAATTTGACAAATTATGTAAATAGTGACATATTACACAAGTGAGAGGCTGTTCTTTTTCTCAGAAAATGATTTCATTTATAGTTTCAGTTCACTGCCAGATCCTGTCAGTTTAAGGAGAAAATTGTAAAGTGAACCTCAGTAGGGTCTTGGTTAGCTGTAAAGGACAATATAGTAACATGTTAATGGGCTTTTAGAAGCAAGATACTGGATTTAGGATGTAATTCAAGGGAAAGGGCATTCATTTATTCAGTTCATTTATTATTAGCTATAATACATGTAGATAACAGCTGACAGGAGAAAATTAATGTGCACTATGCACAGCCAGATAGGTGGAATTGCTCACAATTTTGTGTTTTTGTTTAGTGATTTTGTACTGACTAAAGCACAGTATAAAGTAACCACTGAAACCACAGGGTTTATAGGAAAACATTTGGATGGTGAAATTTAACAGATAAATAGGTTACCTTTATTCTGTTGATTCATGTTTCAAACATGCATCATATTATTATAAAACTGGATTGAGACCCCTGACATTATAAATAACACTGTACTGTACAGTATGCGGTATACAATATAAAATCAAGGCCTTCCCAGTTCTCATTGTGCTAGCTACCGGTCGGAACCATGTATCATACAGTTTATAATACAGTAATATGTTCTTAAGAAGCTGTATTATCAATAAGAAATTAAACGGATAATTCTTAAAGTTATGCTTATGCTTTGGTTCTGTGTAAAAAGTTATTTCGGTGTTTTTCAAAATGTGAAGGTGGCGCCCTTGTTCTGAAGAGCGGAAGCAGCGTGCATCTTATAGATAAAAAAAATGGGATATGACTTTGCTGCTTTTAGAATGCCATACCAAAGAAGAAGAAGTGGGAGCCGATACAGTCAGTGGAAATGACAGAAGTGTCACGAAGTCAGGTTGTTGACGCTGTTAACCGTTGCTCGGGAATAACAATTATGTAGAAATTGATGGGTTTCTACAAGACGGAGAGGACTAATTACTTGACAGCCACATAGGCGTTAGAGGACGTCAGCGGTAAATAATACACAACTTTTCTCCATCGTCCACGCTAACTAGCCCTAGCTTAGCATCTTAGCCTACTTAGCTAGCTTGCTAGCTTTAGCTAACCAAGTTAGTTTGTCCGTAAACTAGACTTTAAAATGTCGATTATCTGTAGCGTTATTGTTTTTCTTCAGAAGCGTTTATGTAGACAATGGGAGACTTAATATAATGTCAGATAGTAACTAAATCCGACGTATTTCCAACTGTTTACCGACTCTACCCTTTTGTGGGGGAACCCTACTAAGACGACGTTAGGAACGGTTCTAGCCTAGCCAGCTAAGCTAACGTTAACTCGACGAGAACATCGACCGAACGGTGGCTAAGGTTACACGAAATAGTGACGATGTTAGATTTATTTCAGTGTTATTTTCAGCAGTGACGTGTCTATCAAGAATAGTGACCGAGGAGTAGTTTAAGGCGTTCCCAGGGTGTACAGCTTGATTAGATCTGATGTAGAACCGTCTTAGAAGCCTAGCTTTCACTATCATAACATCAAATGAACAGTATTTTCTTAGCATCATAGCTGTTGTAATAGTTTATTTTTACTCGGTACGACAACCTTTAATGTTTGAATGACACATTTCTTTATGTATATGTACATAGTAGGGTCGTGCTGATTTTTTAAATTTGAAGGGACATGTCATAAAGACAAGCAAATGTCATAACAAAGACACTGTGTACTTCTGTGAAAAACATTTTGATAAATGGTATTTCATAGCATGAGAAATTGTTCATTATAAAAAAGATCATGAATACCTGCATAAGAACACATTTGTCAACCGTACCAGGTTTTTTCCAATTAACAGACAAGTATTTTATACTAGAGCAGGGTTAATTGTACAGTTAAGTAACTTAAGTTTGTAGGTCTGATTTTAAACAAAACTGCAGCACCTCAGTATAACTACTGGTTATATCAGTATAACTAATTTTAACAGGTTAATCTGTGGATATTTTAACAATCTTATTTGGTGATTGTGAGAATTTACAGTCTAAAAATTACTTTAATAATCTTTTTACATTTTTTTTTATTATTATCATAGGAGACCATGTCAGCATTCAAGACTGCCCAGCAGCAGAGCCAGAAGAGTGGCAGAAGGAAAACCTCTGAAGTAGTGTCTGCAGAGGTGTCGCCAGATTCCAAGTGTCCCATCTGTTTGGACATATTTAACAATGTCTCTTACCTGGACCTCTGCTGGCACAAGTTCTGCTTCCGCTGTATCCATGAGTGGGCCAAAAACAAAGCAGAATGTCCTCTGTGCAAACAGCCATTTAATTCAATCTATCACAGTATAAAATCAGAGCAAGACTTTCAGAAGTATGACTTGCGAGCATCGGATAATGGCTCCTTTGGAACTTTTGGGGGAGTGCGGTTTAGATACCGCACTACTCTTACTGGAGTACATCGACAGATGCGGGCAAGGACCTCTTCTCCTCCAGACAATGGAATAATGTTTGAAGCTTCAACAAACCCTCCCCAGCAGTGGCAGGACCGTTACATCCGGCGCATGATGCAGCGGTTGGCAGCCAAGAGGAGAGCTGCGAGTGAGGGCAGGGCAGTGAATAGTGTTAGACAGCAGGAAATGATAAATTTCAGGAGGGAACTGTACCGACGAGGGGTGAGGGTTCGGACTGTTCGAGATGGTGGCCGCTCACGAGACACCTCAGCTGAGTTTTACAGAAGAAATCCTGCCTGCCTACATAGACTGGTCCCCTGGCTAAAAAGAGAGCTCACTGTGCTATATGGGGTCCATGGGTCTTTGGTCAACATAGTTCAACACATCATCATGTCATGCATTACACGCTATGATATGGAGGATGGTGCTATTCAGGAAGAGCTCAGGCCGTTTCTCCGGGCACGCACAGAGCACTTCTTGCATGAGTTCATCAGCTTTGCAAAGTCCCCTTTCAACATGGAGGCCTATGACCAGCATGCTGTTTATGACTGCCCAGCCCCTTCCTCAAATGAAGACAGCAGCTCAAACTCATCTGTTATAGCTATTTCAGAGGATGAGGAAAACTCATCGGAGTTAGACCCCCCAGGAGATCCCACGTCTACTCTAACCCACTCTGTGTGGGATGATGAGACGCCTGGACCGTCATATTCTATGACAGCAGAGCAGAGCAGGGCAGAGCATCTCTCTGTCCCTGACTCAGACTCAGATAACAGTTTAGAGCAGGAGACAGTAGAATTTGGGGCTTCTTTACAGCAAATGAGTCCTCATAACCAAACAGATGTGACTCAGGGTGATGTTAACAATGAAGAGTGCTTGTCTTCTGATAGCGGTGACTGTGTCATTGTAGGCTTTGTTAAGCCAACAGCAGAGAGGACTCCTGAGCTGGTTCAGCTCTCCTCTGATTCTGATGATTCTGCCAGTGAAGATACTAAAGAAGTGCCTCTTTTACCTCAACACATTCGCTTCTCCGGTCTCAGTCCTACAGCTTCACAGAGTAGTGGTCGAAGTGATGATGGACATTCACAAAATGCAGAAAGAGATCATTATCAGTTGCATTCAAAAGAAAGATGTAACTCTTCACCATCTAGCAGACATAAGACATCCAGTAAGTCCGACAGAAAAGTCAGACAATTTGACAGTAATGAGAAATCTAGGGAGAGGCACTGGTCAAAGGACAGAGATTATAGGAGGACGAGATCGAGAAGTGGAGAGCGCAGACACTTTAGGAGGAGCCCTGTGATTTCCCACAGCAGTGTCAGCTCTCTGTCTAAAGAAAGAGGTTATTCTTACTCCAGGGGCAGAGACTTGAACTCAAAATGTGACAGCAATTCTAAAAGGAGCGACAGTGATCACAGCTCCCTGTCATATAGCCATTACAGCAAAGAGAGGAGTGATAGTGGAATGCATTATACAGAGAGGCGGTCCTACTATTACACTAGTCACACGTACTCTGAACGGCACTCATACTCTCACACCAGGAGCCGCAGCAGGGACTCGCTGAGACGCGACAGGAGGTGTTCTCGATCGAGGACTTTTTCTAGTAGTCGCTCCCCTTCAGCAAAAAGAGGAATTCGCCATGACAAACCTGGTGGAAAGCGCAAGTACAAAACAAGGCATTTGGAGGAACCATCCAAAACCACACTTGCCAAATCATATACAAACGACAACTCTTCTATGTTATCAAAACACAAGAAAAAGAACAAAGAGAAGCATTACAAAAAATCCAAAGAGCGAAGAAAGAGCAGCACGAGCTATAGTGTGGATGAAGGGAACTCACATGAACGAAACAAACGCCACAATAAGAAAAAGAAGAAACACAAGAAGAAAAGCAAAAGGCACAAGAGTAATGAACGCTCAGAGAAGCATTCACCCACTGTCATCACTATTGACAGTGACACCGATTCTTATGCCAATGACAGTGTTGCCCAGACCAACAGCACTTATAAGGATAACCCCACTGACAATACAACAGAAGACCCAGTAGACCCCCTCACTCTGGACTCTGTGGTGTAGTTATATGGAGGTTCAGCTCATGGTGGCAGCAATTCATCCTCAGCTGTTAATGCTGACAAATAGTATTTTAGATCAAAACTGATCCATGTGTTGAAGGTCACCAGATCTTGAAAGATATAGTGAATGTATATCTCTTTGTATGCCACCAGTGTTTTCTGTATCTGTCTAGAACTGGAGAGGGGTCATCACTGGATAAATGGCAGTTTCAGATCATCCCTGTTTATGCTTTGACTGTGTTAATTAATGCCTAAAGCTATGCTTTTTTTGTCAGTTCTTAATCTGGAAATTAATTTTCTGTAATGGATGTATTAGGTGCTCTCTAATTGACAAAACAATTTCTACATGCTGCTCTTGGAGTAATGCTTATTATTTGCAAATAATGTTTGGAATTCAGAATGGGCTCTTTTTGTATCAGATTTTTATTCAAAAATAAAGTGCAATGGGCAAATGTGTGTACTGTTGTCATATAGAAAGTCAAACATATTGTCAGTCTTAGTTTGTTACATAACAGTGTGAACAGATGTATGCTGATTGATATTTATGTGATATTTGGAGAATTGCCATTATAACTGAGTGGCAGTGTTTCTTTTGTTCATGCAGATCATGTGGTAAACTGACATTTTGATGCTAAAAACAAAATAAACAATGTTATATTGATGTTGAGCAGTTTGCCAATTAAGAGCAAATTAATCGACTGTTGGGATGATCAAATGATCATTTTAATTAATTTTTAAGCAAAAATGCCAAACTGCTGTTTCCAAAATGTGAAATGTGAGGATTTGATGCTTTTCTTTGTCATAAATGTAGTAAATATTTGGGTTTTGTCATACACAACAAGACATTTGAAAATGTTGCCTTGTGCAGAGAGAAATCATAAGAAGCTTTCTTCACTCTTTTGTAATATTTTATGGATGAAATAATCATTACTTCAAGCTGTAATTCTGAAATAAGAAACATGCCACTGTATACAATTGCCAGCAAACTCCATTTTTCAACAGTTATTGAATTATAAGAATATTTTAATTATATTTTTTAACTTGTAGGTCAGAAGAAAACGTTAATAGACTCCACAGAGTACATACATACTGTAGTAATGTAGCAATACTGAGTTCGTGTCATCGTCATGCTTTTATTTTGAAAGCACACATTTATAATTATATAAAATAAGCATAGTTATACTGTATAGTGTCAAAAGAACATTCACCCCCTTCCTATGTTAAAGCTTCAATCTTTTAGAGCAAATGTGCAAAACAAGTTGGAGCTAAGACATGAAAGAAGGAAGTAAATGAAAGCTTTATATTACATTGTATACAAACAAAGCAAACTCCAGTTTCCTGTCAGATTCTTGTATGTCTTCATACAGATTAACGGATGTGACTAGAGTTTAGAGAGAACCTTTCTGGTAATTCTGCTGATCTGCAGTACAGATTTGCGAAGTGTTGGACTGAATGTCTTCTTCCCGGTAGGAAGATTGCCAGCAAACTCCATTTTTCAACTGTTATTGAATTATAAGAATATTTTAATTATATTTTTAACTTGTAGGTCAGAAGAAAACGTTAATAGACTCGATAGAGTATATACATACTGTAGTAGTGTAGCAATATTGAGTTCGTGTCATCGCAATGCTTTTATTTTGAAAGCACACAAACAGGAAGGGAAATGTGGTTTGCTAGTCAAAGAAAGAAGAAGAAGAAGAAAAAAGGTGTAATGTCAGTAAAGCTAACTGGTGATACACATTAGTGACGATAAAGTGTCTTCCTCGGAGCTTGGTGAAATTCTTTTACTTTTACAGCCAAGAAAGCGTCGTCATGGCTTCCACGGTGCCCATTAAGGTATAACCTGACATTTTATGTCACATTCCAAGTCTTATAAAAAAAAGGAAATAATTGACATATAGCTAAGCTAGGTAATTCATACCACATGGTAGCTTATCTAACATAGTTTTGACAGGACATGAAAGCACGGGAAGACACTCTTAGTTGTTAGCACCATTTTTCATCGAAGTTGCACTTAACGTAGTTTTTAATAAACCACCATGGCTACATATGACAAGCTAACATTTCCATGCTAACTGCAAGTTTTCTGTGTAAGTGTGGCACTGTTAAAGAAGCTAAACCTGCATCATGTCCGGTGCAGATGCTGTGCCACATGCTCACTCTGCTGCTTTCATCCACTGCACCATAATTGCTGTCAGCGGCGTGTTGACAGTTGTGGAAGAAGGAACGGTAGCCGTTTCAAATCCTCACCATAAATAATAGTAGTAATGCCATGCTGAATACTTTAACTAACAGCTTCATAAATAACTGCTATAATTGTGTATTGTCAGCAAAATGTATTTTGCTAAAATTGAAAGTACTGTGGCGACCCTGACCGGCCCCTGGGGGGCGGGGGCGGGGGGGGGACAGGGACAGGACAGGAACAGGTGCGGGAGGGTATAAGAGGAATGACAGGTGGGTGTGTGGTTTTAGGTTCTGTTGGCGGGCGATGGTAAAGTTCGGGAAGAGACCTATAATGTTCTGTTTTGTTACTTTTTCCAGTGAGCACACAGTGCTGCGTTTTACAACCCTTTTCTTTCTTGTACGCCTGAATAAAGCCAAGAAAAGACAGAGAAGGTGTTCTCCTCATTGTCAGTCTAGGTGCCAGCACACAGCTGGATAGTAGTTGCACAGTTAGGTTAGGATCGGACCAGCTCTCCTCAACCCAGCCAGCGGTCGTCACAGTACTTATACAGACAAACTAGGCTTTATTAGTTATATTGTTATACTCAGTTGCCAATTTATTAGTTACATTTAGCTAGCGAAAACTCATACAGTCTAAATATAACTGTCCAGCAGTAAAAACAGTGGTGGAAGAAATGCTACGATTCTTTATTTGAGTAAAAGTAGCAGTACCACATATAAAAATACTCTCTAAAAGTCCTGCCTTTAAAATGCTTCTAACGTACAAAAGGAAGGAATGCATCAAAATGTACAGAAACTACCAAAGTTACCCATTATGCAAAATGCACATTTCACATATAAATACACACACACACATACATATATATATATATATGTATATATATGTGTGTGTGTGTGTGTGTGTGTGTGTTGCCGTTTCCCATTTTTTGGTGATGCAGTTGGCAGCCTTGGGTTTGTACCGCAGACGAATTCCTTGTGTGTATAATCAAATAAAGTGATTATATTATTATATTTGATTATAATTATTGATGCATTATTGTGCTCATCACGTATCACTTTAATGTTGCAGCTACTTGTAGTGTGAGAAGATTTCTGCAGACCCCTCATATCCTGGGCATAGTTTAAACTCCTCACTTCTGGACAGCACTACAGAACACTGTACGCCAAAACAGCCAGATACAAGGACAGTTTCTTTTCCTGTGCCATCATTCTGATGAACTGTTAATCCATGTTTTATCTGTATAACAAGATACAGCAAACACTGTATAGCAGTAACTAAATATAATCATTGAACACCAATATTTGCTTGTAAATTTTAGTGAAGTCAAGGTATGAAGTAGCAGAAAATGAGAATTCTCAAGTAAAATACAGATACCACAAAATTGTATTTAAGTAAACACTTGAGTAAAAGTACTTAGTTACTTTTAACCACTAAATAAATAAAAAAAAGAATCAAGAAAAGCATACTGGCATTGAAAATAATTGTTAGGTGAGCTTTACAGTATTTACCTTTGAAATGTAGTGATGTTTGTGGTGCAGAAGTCGAATAAATATAGTCTATTTACCTTTTAGTATTGAAAGTTTACCCTTAGAGGGAATTAACAGTATCAAATTTTGTCAATGGAGCACTATATTTTTTGCATTTTTTTTATCCTTGCCCTAATTTTCCTTTATGCATGTAAAACAAATTAAAGCTTTCTGCATGTTTTTTCTTATTTAGTTTTTGTTATTTATTAGATTTTTGTGTTTGTGTCAGAAATTAGTTCTAATGTAGTTGAATGTTGATGACTTGCTCAAACTTTTTGTCTAGATTGGAATAATTGGTGGTTCAGGCCTTGATGATCCAGATATCCTGGAGGGAAGGACTGAGCATTATGTTGACACACCATATGGAAAGGTTAGTTATGTTTTATGAATTTGTGGTCCAAATATGTTTTCTTGTCAAAGTAGGCTATTGTAAACTACTGACATTTTGCCTTAATTTACTTGTGAAGTTATTCCTTACAGTGCTTTTATGTATAATTTGTTATTCTGTTGTTCTGAACCAGCCTTCTGATGCTCTGATATTGGGGAAGATCAAAAATGTGGAATGTGTGCTCCTTGCAAGGTAAGAAAGAATTTTGTTTACTCAGCTTTAAAACATGAATTATGAAAGTGTGTTGTATTTGCACCATCTAGTGGAAGAACCTTGGACCTGTTGAATACACTGGGCAATATGCGTTGTCTGTATTGTTTTATGTTTCACTCATTTACTTATGAGGTTCATGTTAAATCCTTTTGTACATTTTCACATTTCTGACCCTCTTGTACAAATTCATATCAACAATATATACCTTTAATACTGATGTTTCCCATTCTTAGGCATGGAAGGCAACACACTATAATGCCATCCAATGTCAACTTCCAGGCCAACATCTGGGCACTGAGAGAAGCGGGCTGTACACATGTGCTTGCTACCACGGCTTGTGGCTCTCTCCGAGAGGAGATTCAGCCAGGAGATATTGTCATCATAGATCAGTTCATTGACAGGTGAGCGCGGCATAACTACAGCAACAGGCAAATAAGCTGGCCAAAAGGAATAAAAGTAGAAATGGGAAAGAACATGTTAGGAAATGAAGCATTTTCATGGATTTAAAGTGTTTGCTTATTTTTCAAAAATATGTTTTCAGAAAGTCAGAAATGCATTCACATCTTTTATTATTGACTTTTTTACCTTTTGTTACCTGGTAGAATATGAAATGAGGTTAATTGGGGGTTGGGGGGGACGATTATTAGTTACAGAATGTGGGCAAAGCAAACCCTCCCAGTTCGAATATGCAAAGAGGTTTTCACAGACAGTCCATTCACTTCTTGTCAAGGATACAGTGTAAGACACCTAAATCATATGACTGATATTCTCATCATCAGTAAAATACAGAATTCATTCTATAATGTAATGTACCTCACAGCATAGCCTTAAGTGCATTGCAGCGTAATTAAACAGACCTGTTAGAGATTAAATCTAGTGAACAGGTTTTCAGAGTTTATTTATGTGAGTAAAACTACATTGTTTGCTGATGTATTTTAAAAGAAATTTAGACTGGTTTTGTTAACTGTCTTAATGTGTTCTTTTTTTAGGTATTTTGAGCCACTGTTGAAGACTGTTGGTTGTTATCCTGTAATGATTATACAGGAGGTCCTCTGTAACAATTCAAGCTTCTTCCCACACATCTCACTGACAGGATTCATGTTACTGTATGACAAGAGTGTCCAGATAGCTGAGTGAGAAAGGGCAAAGAACTTGACTCGCCTTGTCAAAGGCATTATTTGTTTACTATCCTGTTCAGTGTGAAGAATTAGTATCCTCCGCTGGATGGTTTGTTAGGCTCTCGTGTGTCACAGTTTGCTTACTGGTTTGGTGAGAATTAAAAATGTACTCACACTGACATTCAGCCTACGGAAATGGTTAACACCAGCGTGAGCACAGCTTGTTACGTTTTTAGTCATTCAGTTTTGAGAATTAATAGGAGTTTTGACTGTATTGGTGCTGCTATGGTCTATTTAGTTAAAGAAACAATAAATGTTTCTGTATAAAATGAGAATGTGACATTTTGAAAGGGACTGTTCCTAGTGATTATCACCTGAGTCTGCAGGTCTCCTAAAGGGACTGTTCCTAGTGATTATCACCCGAGTCTGCAGGTCTCCTAAGCTTTATGAAGCTTTATAGCAAATTTCAGATCAAGGTCTTGCTGTCCAGCCTGCGATTGGAATGTTTGTTTCACTCTGACTAATATCAGATCAAGGTCTTGCTGTCCAGCCTGTGATCGGAGTGTTTTGTTTCACTCTGACTGATCTAATAGCATCACTTTTGGCTGCAAGCAGCTTTTTTCAGTGGGGAAAACCCCAGCAAAACCTCTGTACACCACTCATTCGGCACTAAACGGCAGACATCAAATGTTAGCAACTGGCTGAAAAGGTGAATATAAGAGCAGGGTTTAGCAGCTAAAGAGTGTGATATTTGCCTTGCAGGTTGGTAGAGACCAGCAGCCAGAACTATGAAAGTGAATATTCAAAAATGACTCATTATATTGTTGCTCTGAAACTGCTGGATGTGTAAATAAGCAACAAGGTCACTAACTGTTTTAAAGGTCATGTGTTTACAACTCGTTTCTGTTGCCCTCAAGTGGCCAAAGAAATTCTGCTATTGCAGGTTCAAATAAATACAGGGTTGACGAGAAATTCACTTGGTGGACTAATTGTGTTTATTTAGATATTTACTAAATAGACATTTTGTTGTCCATGTTCTCAGTCACAATAAAATCTTAAAGTAACAGCTTTCTAGTGATCACAGCAGTTATTCTGTCTCAGTGGGACAGATTGCAGTAGGTGATTATGAGTTCTTCTTTAAGAGTTAGACACATTTGCTGGTGAACCTGAGAATATCTTTGTTTCATTGCCATGGGAGAGCATTTTTCTCAACAGTATCTGACCTCAAGGTATACATTCTTATGTGTAGCATTCAAGGAGCATGACCCTATGGCATTGTTGTGCTCTCTCAGTTGACTGACTGCACAAATTCCACTCAGTCACTCAATATATGCAGTGAGAGGTGCTGTTTATCTGGTGAACCACATTCCCCTGTACACATAAACATCTTTATCATGTTGCCTGTTGCTTGGAATCAGTAAAGCCATGAATAGACCAACTCCCACTATCAAGCACAGACAAGATCTGTTAATCAGAAATGAGGAAGTTGCTTGTTCGAACTTGCTCAGACTTGTCCTACAGCATGTGACAACTTGTTTCTGCCTTCCTCACTTTATTAATGCCACAATTATGTCTCCACCTCAGCTTACTGGTTTTCTGGGGCTTCTCCAAAGCAAGAATCTAGTTGATAACATCAGCTACTGCTGGTGTCTTTGTTAAATTTTAAGCGTTGTTTCACCCCAGGGGTTTTAACCGTTTTCTACGGAGGTTCCAAATCATTGTAGTTTGACCCTTGATTTAGATTTTCATGTTTTCATTTTCACTTTGTCCTATTGTTGCTATTGACATGTAATTTAAATTGGTGAATCCTCCTCACACTGGCCAAGTACATTTCAGCATTGGCATTTTGTTGATCTGTTTTTTTATGTAACAGTAAATAAAACTGTATAATGCTTATTAAAAAAAACCTTAGCTATAGCCCTGGACTTGTTGGTAGACACTAAACTGAAACCGCCTCACCTAGCAAAGTACCTATACTTAAATATTATTGTGATTTGATTTTAGTGTCATAAACAACGTAACACCTGTCATGACATAACTGCATGTTGTAAGTTTTTACAAGCTGTAGTAGAACACTACAACCAGTGATAACAATATCATTGGTAATAAAATCTGAATAGCTGTGATTTCCCAAAGCTTGTAGATTAGCTGTATATGAGATGTGATTCAATGGAAGTGTGGTGGACATGGATATTTGAGGATGTGCAGTGTATATCTAAAATGTAGTTGTTCATATACCACATCCTTTTTACATTTAAGGACTAATTTAAATAATTGAGTTATAGGCTGTGAGAGGCATTCTTTGTAACCGTGATCCTGAAATGACGTTGCTAATGAAATGCACCGAGTCAGGGCATCAAGTGCCATGTGCGGGGGACTATGTCGACTATTGAGGGGTCCCGCTTTTCTTCAAGGGCAGAGAGCCTGATGCTTCGCCAGCGGTGTGCTGACGTTGTCAATATGAGCACAGTGCCAGAGGTGGTCCTTGTCAAAGAGGCTGTTTTGTGCCATGGCAGTGTTTGCTTGTGCTATGCCAGCATTACCATGGCAACAGACTACGACTTTTGGATTGAACATGAGGAGGCGCTGAGTGCCAGGGTGGAGGTCCTAATATCCGGTTTTCTCACTTTGATGTTTCTAGAGCCCTTGTTCTGTTTTGTGTGAATCAGTGTTGGCCATGAGTGATAAACTTTCGGATTCACTTTGGGTGACATCACGTCCTGATCTCTGTGTCATTGTACCACGAGCGCTCCTTAACTGCATCATTCTTCTAGTTGTCTTTAATTACCAGTTTAACTCGGTTGACAACTTTTAACCTTAAGCTTGTCCTGATCTCTGTGTCATTGTACCACGAGCGCTCCTTAACTGCATCATTCTTCTAGTTGTCTTTAATTACCAGTTTAACTCGGTTGACAACTTTTAACCTTAAGCTTGTGATCACTGGACAGTTTTTCAAATTGCCAGGCTTTCCAGATGGAGACAAGTCACCTGGCCCCAGAATGTCTGAATCACTTCCCACATCTTTATCTTTTGTTTCCTCTCTGTTTCCAGTGATTTTAATAGGTCAGATGCTGTGTGACTACTATTTCCCCATTTGGTAAAACAGCAATATCAAAATCTGTTTTATAGGCAGAATTAAAAATAGGGATGTCAGGCCAAGATAACTCTTTTTATGTCACAACAAGTATTATACTGAGCTTTTGTTTGTCACACACAGTACTGTTTGGTTTTTTTTGGTTTTTTTTTTAGCAGGGTGGAGCTGCAGCCATCTGAAAATATTTTAGCATTGACTTTAGTCTTCCAGTGCCAGGAGCAGGTGTAGAGAGAGGGTTGGGCATCAACTTAAAACATTGTCTTGTAGGAGGCATACATATTTTAGATGTCTGAGACAATGGCTTGTTATGGCTTGTTAGTCCTGGGAATAGAAGAAACCTAAGTTAGTCATGAGTCAGTGCTACTGAGAAATCGATCTTTTCTACTATCCCATCATGTAATGAGTATATATAATATTCCTCGATATAACCACGCATTCACAGAATTCACTAGTTACAAAAGAAGCCAAGAAGCTGCAGGGAAGCACAACATCCCTTGTGTTCTCTAGTTACTGGGCGAGTGTGTCAGTCTCTTGTGTATTCCTGGCCTGTCTTCATAAAGAGCTTTGGGGGAGACGGGGTGACTCTGTGCCTGATGGAACTTCACTGGAAACTAGACAAAGATAGAGACCAGGGTGCTGACTTCTCTCTTAATACTATTATCGTGCTAGATAGCTGTGAAAGGACTCTTCATAACATGTTAAACTCTGGTAAGCGTGTATAGTAGTGTTTCACTCAAACTGGCTGTGGTAGAAACATTTTTATTTTGCCATGTTACTCATCATTTAATCAGTATTCTGTGCTAACTGGTTTCTAGAATTGTTCATCATCTCAGTCGTTTTTTGTTGTTCATCTGGAACAAATAAAGTTGAATTTTAAAAAATGATCTGTTACTTCTACTGCACATTAGCATGAGTTTGTAATTTGCAAGACATACAGACTAAGTCATTATTTTACATGGACTGGGTTGATTGGCAACAGCTGAACCCAACAACGACATTTGTAATTTGCTTCTTGTTGCCAGGACTACAAAGAGAGTGCAGACACTGTATGATGGACATCGTACCAGTCTTCAAGGTGTGTGCCACATTCCCATGGCTGAGCCTTTCTGTAACCGAACCAGAGAGGTGAGTCCATGAATACCCGTACATATTTCATTCATCCCACTTCCTGTACTTCATGAGCCTTTGTACAATTATGTTATTCAGAATTTGACTTTCACATTTTTCTACTTACCTTAAATTTGCGTTGGATGTGATGTCACAGCTGCACTCTTACATTTATGGTTTTCATTGTGAATAATATATTTGTATGATGATATGTCAAAATATATTCTTCAATGATTGGCCTGACAGAGGGGTTGGGGGGGGGGGAGCAGCACAGTTCGCATAACCTATAGACTGAAACACTGAGTAAAATGTCTGACAGTTTAATCACATCTGATCAATAATGTTTACATACATAGAAAAAGTTGTGGCAACAGTATGGGTCATTGTTCAGTTGTGTGAGACAACATATATAATGAAACATTCATAATACTGAGACCTCATGTTCAGGATGTAGCTATAGTTTTTGTACTCTGAGTTCATGATTTGGATAAGTCTGTCTATAGCAAAGACTAGGACTAAGACTGGTCATTTTCTTTATTAATAGTTCTTTCAACAACCCCCATACAGAGAATAAAACCAACAATGAATTTCCTGTACTCACAGTTACTCCCAGTCTCCAATCTGGATTAACTTGTCTGTGCGTTAGACTTCTATTGTTATTCAGAAATGATTAAAGATGTAAGTGACACACACCGCTGTACTGGGTGACATGACGAGACGCACGTATTTATTATAACTGCTTCCTCAGAAGCTTCAAACAGCCATATGTTTTTACAGTGTTGGAAGTCAGCAAGAAGCAACTGTGCATGTGTAAGATCTTTGGGAAAGCACAAGGAGCTAGTGGACTGTACACAAGAATTCACACAGAGATCATTCATTAGTGTTTCTACCATAATATAGAAAATTATTTGGAAATGATTATTAATAAATTAAGTAAAACAGTACTAGCAGTGAGGTTGCAGTTGACCTGCAGTTTTAGTCTTCACTTTGTTTTGAAAACGGTGTATGTTAGTCAGAAAAAAACAAGTCCCCATAATAACTGCAGTACACTTAAGCAGCATACTGGTAAGCAGACACCACAAAGTAAGGCAGGAACTGGTTTGTTCCTACAAAACTACAGTCTAGAAGATGAGATGCAAAGCTGTGAAGATGAGATGCAAAGCTGTTCATGTGAACGCTTCCTCTTTCATTAGCTTTATTGAGATAGAAAGTTACTAACTCTCTCTCCTGGTTTAGGTTTTGGTGGAGGTGGCACAGAGTCTAGGCATCAAGTGCCATGTGCGAGGGACTATGTTGACTATTGAGGGGCCCCGTTTTTCTTCACGGGCAGAGAGCCTAATGTTTCGCCAGTGGGGTGCTGACGTCATCAATATGAGCACAGTGCCAGAGGTGGTCCTCGCCAAAGAGGCTGGCTTGTGCTATGCCAGTATTGCCATGGCAACAGACTACGACTGTTGGAAGGAACATGAGGAGGCGGTGAGTGCCAGGGTGGAGGTCCTAATATCTTTCGGATTCACTTTGGGTGACATCACGTCCTGCCTGATCTCTGTGTCATTGTACCACGAGCGCTCTTTAATTGCATCATTTTTCTAGTTGTCTTTAATTACCAGTTTAACTCGGTTGACAACTTTTTGCCTTAAGGTTATGATCACTGGACAGTTTTTCAAATTGCCAGGCTTTCCAGATGGAGACAAGTCACCTGGCCCCAGAATGTCTGAATCACTTCCCACATCTTTATCTTTTGTTTCCTCTCTGTCTTCAGTGATTCTAATAGGTCAGATGTTGTGTTAACTGACTACTATTTCCCCATTTGGTCAAAATCTGTTTTATAGGCAGAATTAAAAATAGAAATGCCATCCTCATGAGAAGGAGTCAGAAGGATGGTGACAAAAGGTGCTAAAATAATTGTGATGACTTAAAACAATTAGCACTTGCCAAACTGTTCTCCAAGGGCCCTGTTTATCCTGCTCCTTATAAGCCAGTTTATACAGCCTTGGTCAGGTCACTTCATACCAGTGATTCCCAAAGTAGCCTCTAGGAATCACAGAGGGTCTATGACACAACCACTGACATGGCAAAATAATTCCTTCAGATAGAATTTTGCTATGTCATTCCAGTGCACAGGTGTGGACCATCTTTTGGCAAGTTGTATAATTGAAACAGTTATGTGCTACCCTCCCATGACTGAGCAAGTAGAAGGTATGATATGACTGTCACGCAACACAAGGTAGATATTGTTAGATGTTTCCACAGTGAGCAGTGTCTCCTGTCAGCAGCAAACACAAGAGTGTTTGGGTACATGGGTTCCTCTTTACTTTTTTTGCTGCAGGGCAAGCTAGTTTTGATCACTTTAAAGCTATTTATTTTATAAATGATTGCATAGTGTTTGGGCCCACATTCAGTGTTGTTAAGAAAGCAACGTTTCTACACAGTATGTGTACATCTTTGTGGATATAGCAAACATTATTGTGTTTTTGCTAATAGTTATTTTACTTTTAAGGCAGTCCTCTCCAAAATTTTCATTTTCTGTCTTCCCCTTGGAGCTGATTGGTGGAGAAATCTTGGCTTGGAACACATGAGTATTTACAATCGCAGTGTTTCATTTACACTACTGTTTTGAGTGTACTGTAGTGTTAAACGGTCGCACATCACTGAAACTATATTAAGAATGACAGTATGTTTGTAGATCAGATATTGAATGTATCATTACGATGGGTTTTCCACAGGGGTGTTTGCCATTTGCACTCCATAAACACACCAGAGTATCTGTGGCTTCTTTAAGGCTTCCGAGTGACCTATTCTCTGTCAGATACTCTGGATAACACTGTTGATATACTGCGTGTGGGCGAGTTTTGGCTTATCTGTCACTGATCCAGCCCCACTCACACTCCACTTCCGAGTTCCTGCAGCTGACCTCTTCCCCCTCCTGTTGCAGAATGCTTGCCACATCCTTCCGCTCCCTTCTCTCCGCTCTCTCCCAGCCCACTACTACCTCCTGGCTCCCCCCTTCAGTCAGCTTGCTTGCCAGCCTCCGGTCGAAGCCCAGCCAGAGGAGGTTGAGTCATATTTAGTCATCTGCTTCAAAACCATAAGCCTAGTCATTGTGACATATAAACAAGGGAAGGGTTAATGAAGGTTTCAGGCGGTAAACATGAGCACAGGATGGAAATGTTGTAACTTACTGTACTGAGCACTGTATGTTTGTCTGGCTGAGTAATTGTACTACTGATTTATTAGCTATTATCACATAATTGTATGACAGTGATGACTTTAACATATGCACTATTTACTGCCTTTTGTTCTGTTGTTTGCTGAAATTTCATTTAGGAAAATGTCTTAAAAATGTAAGTAGATATAATCAATTTTCAAAGGTTTGCTTTCAGTACATGGTGATTGTGAGCCACAGACGGGCTCAGGAATCTGAAAAGTATTGGCACATTGTTGGGTTTTGGTTTTTGTTAGAATATGAAAGTAATTGAGAGAAATACTGAATGTAGAATATGAAATTGTCTAGATGCATCGGTCACAGCAGAAGCCCTGATATCACAGTACTGTGTCTTCCTTCACATTGTGAATTGCTGCCAGAAGAGTCCTTTGAGATGTTTTTTGGATTCCACACAATGATACTCACAGTGCAAACATCCTCCTAATAGGGAAGGATGCACATCAAGATATTGTACTTTTCTTGGTAAATACAGGGCATGTGGTTTTCTTCATTTATTCTAGGTCTGTGTTGACAACGTATTGAAGACGATGAAGGAGAACGCCAACAAAGCCAGCACTATCCTGCTAACTGCAATACCCCGGATTAGTGAGATGGACTGGGCTCAGACAGTGAACACGCTGAAGGTAAATTGTCAAGTTGATGATGACTCATTTCCATCCAAAGCATCTGAAACATGACCAGTTTCAAAACATTACCAGATTATTAAAGTGGTTATTACCATGAGATCTAAGTGCCAGACTGTAATTAAGGGCTCAGTTGTGTTACAAGTACTTGAAAACAATAATTTAAGCTTGACACTAAAGCAGCCTGCAAAAGGGGTCTGCAGAGACTTTCTGCACAAACTAATGTAGACAAGACTGATTTTATTCTATAAGTCTTTTATCAAGTCTGTTATCCTTCTGTACAATCTGTTGGTATGAAAAACTTTACTTTGAAAAGCAAAAGTCATTTGTCTCAGATGGTTAAAGCAGCCAGCAAAATAAAGTCCCTTTCCCACTGCACAAAAAAACCTATGTAAACTCGCCACACCTCGGCTTATGTCGGTAGTAGGAATGCATCTACTAGGGCAGGTGACCCGGGAAAATGACTCAGCAATTGACATAGGTTGTTATCCCCTTTGCCTCGGCTTGGAAACAATGGCAAAGCCAAACTTGGCTAAACACGTGAACGTACGCAGTGATGCACACGTAGTCCACACTTTAGCAGTTGTTAACGAGGTAACAAAGTCCTGTTTCCTCCGTTGATAATTTTTGCGATTCTTTGCCACGTCAGACATAAGTTTCATCCGTCTTCATTCAATCAGTGCTCTAACATGGCTCAGTCTACACCGAGTTTCTATGCTTTGAAAGGTAAAAATAAATGCAAAGAAATAACGCTGATTGTCTCACTAGCTTCTGTGCTGCTTTGTTTACAACTCTGGTTAACAGCACAGGTATGTGAAATCGCCAATGTGATGACATCAAGTATGATGTACCAGAGGGGAATCGAGCTCCTCTGCTGGGTAGCTGAGCCGGGTCAGTCGGCAGTGGGAATGCTAAAGTCCGGTTTGGCCGGGTATAAAACAAAAAAACCAAAACAATTAAACACGGTACTTTTGCTGGGAAAGCGGTATAATTGGCATTAAGCAGCTTCTTCTGATGGGATTTTGTGACAGACAAGTTTTAAGAAAAGCCCAGTCAATCTTGTCTAGCTTTGACCGTCATTTAGTGAAGGAATTTATTCTCTTACCCTGTAGACAGAGTGGGTGGTGAGTTTACATAGGTAAGAGAATATCGGCGCCCCTGGGTAAAATGTAACAAATACAGATGCACTTAACAAGCCCTGACTGCTCAGCAGCACTTTATTGGATACTTTTAATGAACATTTACATTCTGTGTATACTGTTATTGTGGTATATGTGGTAGTAAATATATTAGATATGCAGTCAAACATGCATCTATTGCTTACACATTTCAAAATGCTCAAAAGTATGACATCACAACAAAGTGTTTTTACACTGGGTGGATCCTTTGCATCCACTTGTAACAATATTTTGGAACATGCTTGAAGTACTTTGAGGTTACACCGAGGTAAATAAATTTCTTTTGCAGTTTATCCTTGTGTTTGGGGAACACATTGGGAAAAAGTGTAGCATTAAACTGTCTAAGTTTTGAATTTATTGTATTTGAACTGTGGTACATTAATGATGACAGGCACAAATTCAGATTTTAAAATTGTACCTTTTATTTTTCTCCTCAGACTTTTAAAGCAATTAACCCTGAAACGAACTCTAACACACTTTCACATAATCTAAATGCAGTTATTGTTGCTGTATATCTTGAAACATATTTGGGGGAAAAAAACTGTTTTGCTCCTTCTGTTACAGTCAATGGCTCAGTCTTCAGTAATGTTACCAAAACACTAAGCCTGTTGAAAAAGAAAAGGAGGCGGACCCCAGGCACCATCTGCACCCACACGGACACCAGACTGAACTATGGCTGTGAATTTGTCATCAGTGAATCACAAGAAAGTGCCTCGTATAAATAATGTGTCGTCTACAGCTCGACGTTTCAGTGTGTCTCGACTGAATACAGTAAAAAGGCTTTGCAAGTGTAGCACATAAATATTTTGTTACTGCCTTAATCACAGCTCAGTTTAGTCTGACGTCTTGAACATAGTCATTACTCCAACTTTTAGATTTTGCATACATGTTAGTCAGTATTTTGAATGTTTCCATCTTTGCTTGTGGGGGAAATATTTTTATATTTTGTGGAATAAGTTCATTTTTATTAACTCTTCTAGACTGAAAATGCAACATTTCATTTATATATAGGACTGTAATTCCATTGTGCATGCAAACTTTTCCAGTTATAAAATCAACTCACTGACAGTATTTGTAGCTGTATTAGAGTCTGACAGCATTTATTGACATTTAACAGCTGAAAGGTAGTTTTCAGTTTTAATGCTTGATATAGGTTATCTCATGAAGTGTTTTTGTACAAGTGCTTGTTGTTCTGATACCACTAATATTACATGTCCTTCCTCTTTTCTTGTCTGCATCTGACCATCTCACGGCCCATTATCTAAAAGTCTCCTTGTATTTCCTCTTGTTCTGTCTCAACAATATGATAAAATGACTTGGTAAAGATTAGAGTTGACTATTCAGAGGTTTGTCTTCAGTGTTGATACCAAATATACTGAATTAATGATTAACTATCTGATTTGCAGTTAAGATTCAGCATGTGCAGAACTTCCAGGGCTCGAGTCTGCGCAAAAACGGCAGTTGTGCTATAAAGGATAAGAACGTCCTTATTTTTTCATTAAAAATAAGGATTAACAGTGATACAGTACATTTAAATCTCCCTGTAGAGTTCAGGTACAAACCTGTTCAAGTGTGAATATTTGTTGCAAAGAAATGTTGGCATTGATTTCGTTTTATAAATCTAAAACCGGCTTGATTTATATGATTGTCTCATTGTAGTGGGACCAAAACTCCACTGGAGAAGAGGCCAAACAAAAGCCTTATGCCTTTCATGTGCTGGGGGATTTACCGTCCAATCCCGAGTTCATAAAGCCAGAACAGCAGCTGGACTCTGTTGGTGTTGAACTGGACCGTAGTTCATGAATGAGGCCTCCTATAATTTTTCTCTATAGTTCACTTTCTTACAACTGCAAAGCATCGACGCATTTCGTGTCACCTGCTAATTTTAATCACATCCTATATGCAAATGACTTCCTTTGCAAAAGTTGTACAGAGTTATGTTGCACAAACATCCAGTATGATTTCTGTACCTCTGTAATAATGCTCTAAGCACATTTTAGTCTAGTGTGAATGCAAAATGTAAAAAAAGCTTATCGCCGAAAATAACCAAATGATTGCATCAGCCTTTTATCTTATTGGCGTGTTTGACAATGAAGTCATTTCGGTTCAGTTAGACTGTGATCATGAGCCAGGAGCCTAATATTTGGTCTGTGTAAATATTCTTAAAGACCCGTTTAGCAAAAGCAAATGAAAGAAATTAAAACGACCATGTTATCCGTTAAAATCCTGGCCCCGCATCTTGAAACGCAACGTTAAAAAATGTTCGTTTCTTTTTTTAAAAACCGATTCAGTTTCTTGTCCAGTACCGAGCAGTAAGTGAAGCTGTAGCTAGACTTCTTATGCCTCATCTGTTTTATGAAGTGACATTTTATTAAAGTGCATAATAAATCTAAATAGGCTTTTAAGTTTGTACAAACAGGACAAGTATATTCTAATGTTCAAATGTACAAAAATATTTTCAATGGCTTTTGAATAATTTGGTTAAATACGTGACATGGAAAAATATTCAAACCTTGGCTTCGCGATAAAAAGGACCAATAACCCTACTTTAAAAATACAGTTATGTACAATAAAAGTCTACACTAGGCCATTGACAAACTTGATTTGCTTATAAACCTATCGGAATATTTCAACGATGCTCCAAAATGTCGCTGTAAACTTGTGTCAAGTTTAACATCAGTTCGTCATAATTTCGTTACAAATAAAAAATATATACGGATTCAGAAAAAGCAGACAACTGAATTAAAACAGCTTACATGGTATAAGAGAACATCCAGTGTGTGTGTGGAGGGCTGCAGGCCCCGCAGGCCTCCTGTCTCAGAGCCCCGAGTTCCCAGACAAAACACACTCCAGGTAAGCAACTACATCTGTAAGGCCGCTCTTTCTGGCCAAATCGATAGGCTGACAGTTTGCCTTGTCCTTGGCCCGTGGGTCTGCCTTATAGTTCACCAACAGCCGCACAGTGTCCAGAAAGCCCGCCCTGGCCGCGTCGTGCAGCGGAGTGGCCCCGGTGCGTCTGTCCGCGACGTTGGGATCCGCTCCGTGCCGCAGTAACACCTCAGCCACCGGGGTGCTCCCCATCATCATGACCTTCAGGGGAGTAGAAGTTAGCGTTACTGAGCTTGATCAAGCTATGTCCATAAAAATAGTCTATAAAAGATCAATTCATCGGAGAGCCTCACAAATATGAGCATGAAGGACTGGGCTACAACATGGATGGTTTGGCCTCCAATTTATGAATTGGTCTATAACCCGTTATTATTTTTCTCCTTGTGTCCCGGACAGGCTTCTACCGACGGCTGTTTGCGGAAAATGTGGAAATGTGCACTGAGACAGTGAACCGAAGGACTTTTAGCGACTTAATGACGTTCAGGACAAGGTAAGGTGAGGTAAGATTGTCTAACATGAACACATATACTATTATTTTGAGTGGAAATGGCAAAGCGACAGTCTGCAAACAGCAGCCTACTATTTAACGCACCAAAACAAAAGGCAACGAAAACGACATCCAGGATCATATGACTTGCGCAGCAAGCATTTAAAAAATGTAGTTTCGTTTTCTTTAATCTCACAAGGTAATTACAGGCTATAGCATTAAAATGATAAAAGGAAGTGAGAGTAGTGTTTTTCGTTATGATTAAGGGACTTTATGTACGACTTAGAAGTACGTCAGTCTTTTCCATTCATAGAAATATTTCAGGTTCAAGATTATGTACATTATGTTGTTGTTTATTTGTTGGTAGAGACCGATGGTTGAGGCTATGTTTGTGTTAACTGAGGAACGAGTTAAGTTTTATTAGGCTATAGCAACAAAATGTTATACTTTAGATGAAACTATAATAACCAACTAGACTGTTATGCACCCGTAGTTACATAATTTAGCCAAAATATAGTTTGATTTTTAAAAACGCAATGCGATAATTAAGCTAATGGCTGTCGTTACTCGTCCAGCCATCTAAAGGCTCCATTAAAACTTATAATTTAGCTTCAAGTTATGATGAGAAGTTCTATTACATTAACTCTGAAGCAACAACCGAGTCTCACTCTGGATATTGTTCAGTGACAATAAGCCGCACAAAGACGAAGCGCGTCGCCTTTTCAGTTCTGAATAAATGTCTTAAATGACCAGGTAGAAAGTTCCTCCCCTGTGGGTAGCACTAGGCTGTTTATCTGAGGTTAGTACTCTTAACCCATGTATTTACGAGTGAAAACCAGCTTTTATTACTAATCGATAAAGCTCGTCTGGCGACACTGACCTGCACAGCGCTACGTCCAAATCGGTTCACGCCGTTAACCTGAGCTCCCGCCTGGAGCAGACGCGACACCTCCGCTGTGTGTCCCTGCGCTGCGGCGCTTGTCAGCTCATCCTCGAGAGTCATTGTCAGCCACGGAAAACGAAGCAACAGTCTAACCAACGTGACAGACTGTTTTGACAGGTAGCCCGGTGTTGATGTCTACTTGAGGAAAAGGCACGGCTCAAAAACACGCCTGGAATAATCACGGTTTGGCGTTGATATGAGCGCTTGGTCTTCAACTGTCCCCGGCTTGTCAGTTCGCCCGGGCCCCGGGTTGACGGAGTCCGATAAGTGAGCCGTGCATCGCCCGTCCAGCGGTCGGTGTCTGTCCAGACTTGCCTCTGTGTTTGAATGGGCGACGTCATCGGCTGTTACTGCTGCAGTGGCGCATCTTGCGCATGCGCGCCCTGCAACTGACGGCCGGCAGAACAACCACCTATTTTGTTTAATCTGTTGCTCCAGATTTAGCCTTTAGAATATGTGAGTTAATGGAAAAGCAAAAGATATAATATCCTAACAACATAACTGTCTTGACTATTTCATTTTTCCTGTTTTATAAGTCCATCATGTTTCATTTCAGTGGTAATTATTGCACTTTTTACTTGATAAGGTAGATATTCAAAATATAATCAACAAATTATGGTGGTGGTGGTTAACAAGCTTAGCCACCCAGCAGTTACAATTATGTCTACCATTACCAGCTGCTACAGTGTTACAGGCTACACTCATAAAGCAGGACTGAAAAAAAGTGAAAATGTCCTGTTTTTGTTGAAAGCGTTATATATAAAAAGCTGTTTATTCAGCTGTGTGATTTAGATGTTGTTTCTGGTGCGGTTGGTGTATTGTCTTATTCTGTATTTCTATTATATTCCACTCCATTTATATCAATAAGACAAATTAAGCTAAATAACTGAAGATCTCTTTATCATCCACTACAGTTCAAAAGCAGCACAAAGTGCAGTCTGTTGTATTAGATTGCTCCTGAGCATTTGATTATTTCACATTATGTTCATTAAAATGTGACAATTCCTCAATTGTAATGAAATAGATATTCAGACTGACAATTTTTCACTAAACTGGAATCCAGCATGACCACGGTCCTTAAAGTGCTCATATTGAAATAGATATTCAGACTGACAATTTTCCACTAAACTGGAATCAAGCATGACCACGGCCCTTAAAGTGCTCATATAAAAAACAGTCTATTGCTTCAAGGCAACCTAATACACCTTATCACCTGAAGAAGATCATGTGATATGGTGAGATTGTTTTGTTTTGTCAACTGTTACTGATTTGTTTGTAAAGTTGATGAAGTGTAACAGCTGTAAGGGGATCAGCAGACCTATTAATTATTTACTTTCATTGCAGAAGGACAGGATAATATGACAGCATGGTATTATATAGGTGTAAATGGGTGAACAATGCAAACAGGAGGAGAGACCCTTAAAGCTCTACCTCAGCTGAATTAATTTGCTGTGGGGCCCAGGGGCAAGATTTGGCTTCTGGGCCCCTATTACACAGTGTTCAGACTGTAAACAGCAGAGCCTTACCTAACAGTAAGTGAACAACATGCAAAACAAAACTCACCCAAAAAAAAAAACAAATGAAAAAATGGAAGAGTCTGCATTGATGAGGGCACACTTTGTTCTCCCAGGTACTGGGAGCAGCATGTTGACTTGAAATAATGTAGTTGCAGCTCTGGTAGACATACTGTACATAGTCCACTAGTCAACGGTATTGTGGTGGCGTGTGTCATTAATCTTAATTCTCAGTTTATTTGTGTATATGTGAGCAGACTTGTGTGGAATGTGTGCTCCTCTCACAGGTCTGCAGCTTGTAGAGATGGAGGCTGGTTGAGTGTGGGTGGAGGTGTGCCGGTCTGGAAGTCCCCCGTGTGTGTGTGGGTGTTTGTATTTGTGTATCTGTGTGAGAAAAAATGGCACTGTGGATGACTACAGACATTTAAAGTATGGAAGAGTAATGAGGTCACAGTTTCACACAGTAAAAAAAAAAAAAAGATACTTACTAGAAGCAATTAAAGCTTTCAGTAACAACCAAGGCCATCATCAAACATGTCTTGGTGGTTTGTCTTTGTTGGGCCTGACTTCATGACATCAGTGCATTTGGAACGTTCTTTTGGTCAGGAAAGCTGCAGTGAACCGCAGTGCACTCAGTTTTGTTGTAGTGTATACTTGAAGCATTCATCTATTTTGTTATCCGTTATCCATGTCACATACACCTTTCATGTAGTTGTAGTAAATGGACTTGTACTTATTTAGGTTTTCTACACACAATATTTATGGTCGTTCACCTCAATGGCAGCGAAGCCATATAGTCATTCATTCACTGGCACACCAGTGGCGATGGCCACTGGGAGCATCTTGGGATTGCCTTGCCCAAGGAGTATACTTATACTTACATACTTATACTTACTTAAACTTTTATAGCTCTTTTCTATGCAATGAAGCACACTCAAAGCTCTTTCTTACTGTTTGCCCATTCATCCTTTCACCCTTCCCAACACACCCACGCCCCGGTAGAACAGCCACAGGGGTTCATTGTCTTGCTCAAGGAAACTTTGACATGTGATCTGGAGAAGCTGGGAAGTGAGCTGACCTACTCTACCTCCCGATCCACAGCTCATTTACATTATCCAATGTCTGCTCTTAGAGAGTGTGTGTGTCCAAAATGTCTTCATGCTTAGCTGAGAAGCAGCCTGACTGAAATATGTGAGAGAAAGAAAAATCATAAATACAGTAACTGCAAGTACAGTCCATGCTTTCATGATGCTTAGTTGTTTTTTTTTTTTGCTTGCCTCTTGTTTTGTGATAGAGATTATTTTTTAGTCAGAAAATCCTCTTCCTTTATTCAGCAGCTTAGTTTGAAGTAAAGTGTGTTCATCATTGTCAAATTGTGTTTCTCACAGAACCTCCTCGCAGTCACATCCGTCAGTTTAGCTGCCTGGTGCTGTGTGTTTGATGTTACGGCATGTTGCTTTGAAGAATAAAAGGATACAGCTTTTATCCTGATTTGGTAGTTTACCTTTTATGTTGTATTTCTTGTCATTCACACTTACACAAAAATCGTGCTTTGCGTACTAGCGCTGCGCTGCCACCCAAACCACTATCCTCAACAGCCAAGAAGGGGAATGCCTATGCTGTGATTCCCGGCGAATGAAATCACCTTCTGCTGACTGTTCATTTGAAATCCCCCTCGTGCTACTCGTTTTAAATGCCTTTATTGTCTGCTCTTTTTGTTTGCTTATAGCAGACAGTTCTGATGAGTCTTGACATAAATCTAGTTTAAAATATTTGATCTGCAGGGACAGGACCTGGTCAGCTCTCTGGTAAGATGTGGGATTTGTATTTTCTAGTTTTGATTACTCATGCTCTGTCATTTCTACATCAGAGAGAGAGGTTTTTAGTAGTAAAAGTCAAATATTGCTGTATACATTGAAATGTTATATTTCTTTAGCCTCTTCGGTTCACCCTTGTGTTAACAAATTTAACAAAACAACTAGAAGCATTCTTATAATTGTCATACTTCACCTTGTTTTTGCCTCAGCATGGACGTTTTCTATCGGTCATATAGAAACACACTTCTATTGATAGCCACTTATTGCTGGTAAGCAGTTCTCCACAGTATGTGATATTTCACCATGCTGTGGTGAATAGTGGCTCTGCCCTCTGTACATACTGACATGTATACACATTGTTCTATTTTGAGTTGCACTTGCCTGGTGTCATTAGTCAGAATTAAATTGATTAATACAAACTAGTTTTAGACCTGCAGTATATCTGTGGTCTTTATGTCAGCTGAAGGCTAAATTACACAACTTTCCAAAGAAGTTCCTCTTTGTGGTCCAGCTGGACTTGTGTGTCCCAAGATGACCTACACAGTGATCCAGTCCTACCAATAGTGTTTGCAGACAGTGCATTTCATCAAAGGCGCATCACAAACTGACTTAGGTTAAACACACACAACTGAATATACTATATTGCTGATAAAACTTTTATTATGTTGGTGTTTTGGCTTTGAAGTTCTCCTGATTCCATAAGCAGCCAGACAGAGGGAGCATTTACACTTTTTTAATACCAACAGCCGCACTTGAATTTTTTCTTCTTTAGTCATCTTGCATATTTGCCCAAGTTTAGTAGAGCTAAACACACTTTGCTTAACAAAAATAATTTATTAAATATAAATATATTAAAGCAATTTAAGAT